GGTTAGTTGTTGATAAGATGTTTCTTACAGAATAATATGATCAATGATTCGATTAGAAGTATACAACATATCCATGTTCAAACAGTTAGGAAGCGAGTGATTTGTTACAACACCGAAAAAAACTACTTCATAATCTGGCTATTTATTTAAACACATAAACATAGGCACAAGAAGGCAACAAACAGATATGCACCATTTAGGTCATTTGATTTGTGTGTGGATTGTGATACTATCCGGGTGTCCAAACCGAAACAAGTGGTTTTCTTAGAGGGCCACATGCGGAAACTTCGACCTAAAGGTTTGATCTAAAAGGCAGTGGAGAATCGTACGGAGATGCAGTCCCATGGTAGCCAGTGACCAACAATTGGTTCATGCGCCAATTTTTCCTTTGGGATACTGGAGCTCATTTACACAATCGGTTTGAAATCAGGGTTTTCCAACTCCCCTAGGTGAACTTACCGTGTTCACCGACCGGGTTAAAGCGCCGGACATTCGCTTTTCATCCTCTCAATTTCATAAACAACAGTAGTGTCACGAGAAGGTAGTGAGTAGGACTTCCCTGGTAATGGTTGTATGCATGTGGCTATGTGAGAGCGTTTCGAAACAGAGAGTTGATTCTCCCCACTCTCGGCCGTACCAGGGCATTTGGGGGCTAATTCGGTTATACAGTCTTAATTAACCGATTAAATAAGTGTCTAGTTGAAGTCATCGATTGATATCATCATCCATTTACATTATTCTGCCAAGTTCAAGTATCATCAAGTTATAATTGTTTGTATCTTTGTTATACATTTATTACTTACTTACTTACTTACTTACGCCTGTTACTCCCAATGGAGCATGGGCCGCTGACCAGCATTCTCCAACCCACTCTGTCCTGGGCCTTCTTTTCTAGTTCCATCCAATTCTTATTCATTTTACTCGTGTCTATCTCCATTTCTCGAAGTAATGTGTTCTTTGGTCTTCCTCTTCTCCTCATTCGGCCTTGAGGATTCCATGTGAGGGCTTGTCTTGTGACGCAGTTGGATGCTTTCCTCAATGTGTGTCCTATCCACTTCCAGCACTTCTTCCTGATTTCTTCCTCCGCTGGGATCTGGTTTGTTTTCTCCCACAGTTGGTTGTTGCTAATAGTGTCCGGTCAACGGATCCGAAGTATTTCGCGCAGACAACTGTTAATAAACACCTGTATTTTCTGGATGATGGCTTTCGTGGTTCTCCAGGTTTCTGCCCCATACAGTAGAACTGTCTTGACATTTGTATTGAAAATCCTGACCTTGATGTTGGTTGACAGTTGCTTTGAGTTCCAGATGTTCTTCAGTTGTAGATATGCTGCTCTTGCTTTGCCGATCCGCGCCTTATTCATTTATAATGAATACTAATGTTACAGGAGTAAACAATTAACATCTTCTTATATTTTAGGGCTCCACTTTCTATCTGAATATTTATGTCATAGATAGAAGGTATAGAGATGATAGTTTTATCCAGTGATAATACTGGCAAATTTTTAGAGTGGTCTAAGTACCTTAAATCTCTATGAACCCTATTTATATATGGATTCAGTTATATCATTTGAATCAACTTTATTTATTTAGGTCTTTCAAAGCACATTTATTAGTTTCTATGAACTGATATTCTACAAGTTGAAATACTTATGTTGGATTCCATTAATAGATGGTATTGATAAATGATAGTGTTTTCTTATTAAAGATCTCATAAATTATAAATAGGTTAATAATATGCTTCTAGGTTTTCCATGATGATCTAGCTTCAATTGACACATGATCTCAACTATTGAAATTACTACAATCTCTACAAAACCCCTTCTAATACTAATAATATGAACATTAATACTACCAGTCATAAGAATGGTTCAGTCAGTCAGTCAGTCAGCAACAACGTAGAACTTCGTATGTACGTACATCAGTTCGAGTTGTCAAACCATATTAGCACACACATGAAATTTTCAATTCAAATCCCATAGTGGTAGAGGTAGTAAAAGTATAAGTAGTAATCAAAAAGATTAGAGTTTGAAGATGTTATTCAAGGAGTATAATCGAGTGAAATAAATTTGTAAAACGAAACAAAGGAACAGAAAGAGTCCAGGAGATTATAATTTGTGGCAACACAAAAAGTGGATGCATGTGCGCCAGTGCGAATGACTTTGAATCATGTCATTCAAAATTTCTAACCATCGGTTGCTATCGTCTCCCTCGGATCCCAACCAAGTAGTCTACACCTACCAAAATGGCTCACACAGTCCACTATTCAATGACTTCATTGATATGTGCTATGTTTTGGTCTGACCATAAGAATGGTTAGTATGCTGGGTTAGTTTTTAAATTTTTAACATTAAAAAATGTACCACAAATGAACAAAATAAGAACTGAAATCCAATTTTTTATCATTACGTGACACTTTGCAAAAACTGATTAGTATTATAAACACTTTTTTCATCAATAAGACGGACAAATTTATTCAAATCAGAAGGGGTTTTCGTGGAGATTTTAGAAATCTCAATAGTTGAGATCATGAGTCAATTGAAACTAAACCATCATGGAAGACCTGAAAGCAATGGACGGCCGTTTCCTCTCAGTATGGGACTCCTTAGCGATGTGCATCCACAATCCCGTCTCCTGCGAGATTTGAACCTAGGACCTATCACTCTCGTGCTCGAGCGCTTAACCAGTTGACCACTGAGCAGTCATCCGATGATGTTGATGTCTAACTTCAACTAATCCACAAAAATGAGCGACACACCCACAATTGTGGGTGCACACTGTTGAGAAGTCCCACAATAGGATGAAACGGTCATTCAGTGCTTCTATGTTTTTCATGGTGGTCTACCTTCAATTGACTCATGATGATGAATAGTTGGAGGATAAATGAATAACATAACACAATGTTCACTTGTTTCATGAATATTTATCATCTGAATAGTTTTACTCGATATTCAATCGACAATTAAAGGGATGAGAGAGCAAGAGCGAGAGCGAGCGAGCGAGCGAGAGAGAGCGAGTGTGAGAGGAAAAAAGCAGCTGTTCAGCTAATTAGTACAATTTACTAGAAAAAGGAATATCATTACACAAATTCAGTATATCTCTAAGTGTATATTTGTGTTTGTGTGTTTATGTGTGTGTGTGTGTGTGCGTGAAAGGTTTTTGGGTTGTTTACAATAAGCTTTTTCTTCTATTTTTTGTGCAAAGAGAAACGATTAAAAAAATTGAAACAACAAACTGTAGCACAAAATTTCATTTCAAAAAAAAGAAAAAGAAAAAAACGAAAAGAAAAAGAAAGAAAAAAAGCAAAGAAGAAGAAGAAGAAGAAGAAGAAGAAGAGGTTCCGCTTCATTTTGTTTACATAAACATTCAATTAATCTGAGAATGATAAATTTGTGGACATTTTAAGATTTCTAACTGATGTAGGTAATTTGATCAGTGATATTGAATTGATTGATAGATGGACGGATGGTTGGATAGATGGATGGATGGATGGATGAATGAATGGATGGATGGATGAATGAATGGTTGGTTGGTTGGATGAATGGATATTGGAATTCAGGCTTAAACAATCTAATAGATACATCTGTATATGTGCATAATTATTAAGACTGATTTCTATCAATAATCTGAAATTATAATTGGGAAAATTGGTTAAAATTTAAATAAACCATTGAATAGTTGAAAATAGAAAACCAATTTTTATGCCTGTATTGTAATGTATAATTAAGCATAAATTGGCATTGAATATTGAATTCGCAAAACAAGCAAACAAACAAACATACTTATATTGTCAGAAAAGGTTTTGTGAAGATTTTACTAATGTCAATAGTTGAGATCATAAGTTAATTGAAGCTAGACTACAATGGAAAACTTGGAAGCACTGGACGGCTATTTCGAGGGCAGGGGGGTGGTCGTGGATGCGCACTGCTGAGGAGTCCCACACTAGGACGAAACGGCTGCCCAATGCTTCCAGGTTTTCTATAGTGGTCTAGCTTTAATTAACTCATGATTTCAACTATTGAAACTTATATTGACTAATGGATTCTTTCTCATTAGTAGAAAATTGTTATCATTGTTGTTTCAAAACATTATGGATAAATAATTGAGTGCATACTGAGTATCCTATCAGGTAATCGAACTCATGACCTTCATGTCTGACGGTTAGATCTGTGTAATTTTGATTTCCAACTGAGGTTATACGGTCAATGATGTGTAACTTAATGTTTCATATATAGATATTTAAGTAAACAACTTACTACTTACCTAATTCAATTATCCTCCATTGTGAAACATTTGATTCAAACTGGTTATAAGGTTGACATCAAATCAGTATTTGTAGTGTTATGCAAAAGCCTTCAAGAACGTATACTGAGGTTTATTGAAGCCTTCCTTATACGGAAACTGAAACCCCCTTTGTGCATTAAAAAACAATTTGTCTTTACGCTTAACCTACTCTAGTAATACAGATTTATTATCCAGAGTGGTTATCACATTGTCTTTGTGCACTTTATTATTATTTCTTACCTTTGACTTGTCTAGTTGTCCTTTTAATTCACATATAAAAGAAGTCTCAACAAGTATATTAGATGTGAACAGATTGTTCGAAATGTATTGCGCAAATAGATCACACAATTCTGACAAAACTTCTAGATTTTTGAACACATACGATAGTGAACAAGAAAACGAGTGGGGACAGTCAGTAAACTCTGAGAACAATGCAGTAAATACTTCATTTGCAAAATATCAATCGATTGTCTCAAACTTGACTGTTTTTTGTATTGCAGATCTCAGTTCATCGTCGCAGATTTCATTGTTTCTGCATTTCATATCAATTGCTTTCTGTTCCCATTCTTTCCTTCTCGATCTTCTACTGAAATACATTCTATTCTTGACTATCGTTATATACTACTTATATGTATATGAGTAGCGCATGCCACAATACAAGTAATGTGAACAAAATATCAATATTATGTGTAAGTATTAGCTAGTTATCAGAGTAAAATGCTGAGTGACACTACTACTACTGGTACTAGTACTATTACTACTACTCCTACTCCTACTCCTCCTCCTCCTACTCCTACTCCTCCTCCTCCTCCTCCTCCTCCTCCTACTACTACTACTACTACTACTACTACTACTACTACTACTACTACTACTACTACTACTACTACTACTACTACTACTACTACTACTACTACTACTACTACTACTACTACTACTACAAATAATAATAATAATTGGAATAATAGATTGTAATATCATAGTTACGTACAATTGGTGTTTTTTGATTATTTCAGGAAGGGAGAAAGAGCGAGAGCGAGATAGAGAGAAGGAGAGATGATGACAATAAAAAGCAAACATAAAAGCAATTTATTCATCGTTTTATGACGATGATGATCATGATGAAACATGTACAGATCGATTAGACATGACAAAGATATTTAGTAGATAATGACATTTTGAATTATGTTTTGTATAGTTGACATGTGTCGATAGATGAATTGTGTATACATATATACATGAATCTAGATATGTAGACGACTATTGTATTTCAAATTTGCCTAGATCTGTTTATGTATATTTCTATGAATGTATTTTTCAATTTGTATTGTTAGAAATAGTAGAGTGATATATTCAGTTTATGTCGACAGATATAAATAGTATGTACTTACTTACTTACGTACTCCCAATGGAGCATAGGCCGACGATCAGCATTTCTCAACTCACTCTGTCCCACTCTGCCTTCCTTTCTAGTTCTATCCAATTTTTTGTTCATTTTTCTCAAGTCTGTCTCCATTTCCCAAAGTAATGTGTTCTTTGGTCTTCCTCTTCGCCTCATTTGGTCTTGAGGATTTCATGTGACGGCTTGCCTTATGACACAGTTGAGTGCTTTCCTCAATCTGTGTCCCATCCACTTCCAGCACTTCTTCCTAATTTCTTTCTCCACTGTAATCTGGTTTGTCCCACAGTAGGTTGTTGCTGATAGTGTCCAGCCAACGGATCCGAAGTATTTTGTATAGAAAACTGTAAATAAACAGTTGTATCTTCTAGTAGTCCTCACCTGTGTTCTTGTTCACAACAGCAGTAGTAGTACTAGTAGTATTGATAACAATAGTACAAACATATAAACAATCTTTTAGTGTACATGATGAATGTATTCATCGTCATGTATAATTTTATTATACTGTTACTAGACATTGTCAATACAGAGAAATATGTATCTGTTCATATACATGGACAGATAAAGAAAAGAATATTGATCTCTCAATAATCCAATTCGTTGAATGCCATAAATGAACTAACTTTTAGTGGAGACAACCCCCCTCTCCCATATACACAGGAGAAATAAAGGATGACATCAGTGTATTATTTAATAGTCATGACGATATCCATCAGAAAATATTTCTGGTTCTTTGGTTTTCCACTACGATAACAGGTATTAATTATCACTCAGTCACTCAATTACACACATACACACACACTCTCTCTCTCTCTCTGTGTGTATCTGATTGTTACTTCATTCATTCATGATTTACCTATACTGAAACTGACAATAGATATCAATTAATTTCTTCTTGGCAAAAGAGAAAGAAAGAAAGAAACAACGAAGCAAAACTCATTTATATCAACATTCTTCTTGTTGAATAAGAATGAAATTTATCATTCATCAGTCAATTGGGACATTCTCAGTTTATTTGTTACGTTTTACAATCTGTCCATCAATTCTTAAAACTATTAAACCAATAGAGTATTATGATACAATAAACAATTGAATTGTGGAAAGTCATTGTGTGTGTGTGTTTGTTTGTTTGTTTGTTTGATTGTTTCACTATCATAGTTACAATTTAAAAAACAGTTGGATTTATGATAAATAAGAAGTTTCGTCTAAATTTTGATTGAATATTTTGAGGGCTGTGAATTGATTTGATCCTTGAAAAAGTTTTAGACTAGATTGTTAGCCAAAATGTTTCAAATTGTTTCGCTGAGATTTTACAAATACAACATTCTTTCTCTTTTAGTGAGATTTATGACTAGGGGTGATATGAAGGAAAGGGGTTTTGTGGAGATTTTAGAAATTTCACTGGTTGAAATCATGAGTCAATTGAAGCTAGACAACTATGGCAAAAACCTGGAAGCATTGGACGGCCGTTTCGTCCTAGTATGGGACTCCTCAGCAATGCGCATTCACGATACCGCACCCCGCGAGACTCGAACACAGGACCTATCAGTCTCGCGCCAGGCGCTTAACCAAATAGACCATTGAGCAGGCATCCGGTCTAGTTAATTAAGCGCCTGGCGTGAGACTAATAGGTCCTGTGTTCGAATCTCGCACGGGGCGGGATCGTGGACGCGAACTGCTGACGAGTCCCGCAATAGGACGGAACGGCCGTACAGTGCTTCCAGGTTTTTCATGATTGTCTAGCTTCAATTGACTCATGATTTCAACCAGTGAAATATTGATTGATTGAATTATATAGCTGAAGATGTTTGTTGTTTATTTTTTCATAGGGTTTTGATGAAATTACTGTGATAATTAAGAATTTCTACATTAATTATTTGTTTTTAATTGAGATCATGAATCGATTGATGTTAGATCACCATTGAAAACTTGGAAGAAGTGGATGGCCGTTTTGTCTTATTGTGGAACTCCTCAGCAATGCGTATCCACGATCCTGCTCGCGGGAACCGAACCCAAAGCCTTCAGTACTGCATGTGAACGCGGTTATTAACCGTTCAGTGCTTCCAGGTTTTCAATGGTGGTCTAACATCAATCACATCATGACCTCAATCAAAAACTTGACAATCTTCCCAACCCCATAGTGTTAATAGTTGTTGTTTCATTGGTTTGCTCAAGGGCGATAAAATGTCATTAACTTATAGGGATTAGATAGTAACTCCTATTCAGAAAAATGGATTTATATTGGTAAGATTCTCAAGTGATCGAAGAGATTTGTTGCTCAGATAACTGGGTTTCGATGATGTTATGTTTGTTGGGTTGATTGATGAAACTACTGTGATCTGATGATGTTTTTGAAATTAATGCCATTAGAGAGTGTTACATAACCAGAAAAGTAATCGATATTTTATTTAGAAACTTAATTGATTAAGTTTCGAATACATTCAACCTTACAACTTGGTTTGTAATGGTAGCTGTAGTGATGATTAAAGAGTTAGATTAAGGTTAGTTGGTCATTGAATAATTGATGTGGCGTGTGGTACTTATGTCGACATAAGTAGTGTATAACGCTAGTCAGGAATAGAAAGTCTAGCAGCAGAAGGTTGAGAAGATCGATGAAGAAAGAACGGGAACGGAAAGAATTTGGTATGGAAATACAGGAATAATGAAGTCTGAAACAATAAATGAACATTTTGCAAATGAAGTATTTAGTCTATGATTCTCAGATTTTTCACTAAGAAGTTCTGTAATTTTATCTTCGATTACATTAGAATGTCTCTACTTGTGTTTTCGTTCACTACGGTGGTACTGATCAATCACTTCGATTATATCTATTTCAATCTTGATGTAGTTAACTTAGTTGAATCTTTAGGATTTATCCTCGTAGTTAGTTCACCATTGAGATTACTCTCAACATATGTCCCATTTTTGTACTCTTAACTATTACTTCAGTGTCTTTAGCTAAAATGAATAGCTCGCTGGATTTTAACGATTAGCAAACTAATGTTTCGTTTCCAGCACATTATTTACATTCGAGAGAGTTTTTAAACGAAATAGCCTTCATATTTTGTATTCAAGCTTCAGTTATTGTCACATTTATTATTATTTTTTCGATTGAGATCATGAATTGATGAATGTTAAACCACCATTGAAAACCAGGAAGAGCTGGACGTCCGTCAAGAGAATCTTCAGTAGTGCGTGTATACGATCCTGCTTGTGGGATTTGAATCCAGGACCTTCGGTCTCATGGGCGAACACATAACCTCTAGATCATTGTCTTTCCTATTTGTTTAGTTTATTACAACAAAATCTAGCAGACAGATTCATTAAAATCATTAGATTGATAGACTCACTATGAAATAAATCATCTGAGTAACAGTAGTCACTTGACTAATCATGATATCAATCTAATTATCTTATATGACAAAAGTCTGAAAAGTTTAAATATTCACTAAACATCATCTCTAGTTACGGTTATTCATAGTTAATTTATGGTTGGGATACGATAAAGATTGGAAGTATATTTTTTTTATAACATAGACTCACTAATTAAATCACCATGAATAAGATTGTACAGATTAAACGATATAGTCAAAAAAAGATTTCTCCGCTTAATTACCCCCCTCTGTCAATGTCTCTCTCTCTCTCTGAACCTTTCGCAATACACTTATTCATAAGGGCATATATAAATTCAAAACAAACCAGTGGAGCTAATCGGTGTCGAATGGAGACAGGTATCTACCTCAGTACAATGGATGGTGGTCTCACAATTTCGTGGATTGGTTGAGGTTAGACATTAACACTATTTGTTGCCAGCTCAGTGGTCCAGTAAGTTAAGCGTTCACGAGCGAGACCGATAGGTCCTACGTTCGAATCTCATGTGGTGGGACCATGGATACACACTGCTGAAGAGTCCCACAATAGGATGAAACGGCTGTCCAGTGCTTCCAGGTTTTCCATAGTGCTCTAGCTTCAATTGACTCATGATTTTAACTATTTAAAAATAATTTGGGTTGATCATTAAAGTTAGTTATAAACAGTGTGGAAAAGTACACCCACTTTTTTTACTGATACCACACACACACACACACTTTGAAATCAGTAAAAACTTAGATGTTTTAAACTTATGTACGTGACAAGTCATGATCAACAAGAATGCAATGAGATTGAGTTACTTATTGTTAGGTACTTAATAATGGAGCATTTTAAAGTAATGATATTCCCATAGGATTCAACTCCATGTTTAGTTATGAATTCTATTAGATTTCCTTCTAGTCAGTAACAACATCATGATGTCATTCGTTTGGTACTGGATAATTGAGGGATATCAAAGAGAAAATATCACTTTCTTCAGGGTGTTTGAGATATTTCATGACAATAAGTGCTAAGTTCCATATAAACTTACTCCTGGATATTGTTATAACTTATGCCCTGTCCTGTTAATGTATAACGTAATGATACTGAGAACTAAAGAACAGTGAATTATCGACCGGACCAATGACGCATAAAACAAGTACGAGCAGTCCAGAGTACTTATCGGTCCCGCTTGCCGTCTAGCCCAGCCTGCTAAGTCCAGAAC